AACTGATAGATAAATGGCCTCGGCTTGCGGCCTAATGTAGAACAGCAGCTAAGTTGCAAGAAGTTGAAAATGGAAAATAAACCCAGCCCTATTAATAAATAAATTGAAGTGAGTGGAGATATAATTTCAGCGAGAATGTGAAAGAAAATAGAAAAATTATCGAGGCTGGCTGGAGCAGCAGGGAATTGTGTTTTTGCACAAAAATCATGAAAAATACCACTGGCCGACAAATTTTTTTTTTTATGATGCCTAAGATGTTTTAACCGTTTTTAACAAATTTGAGGGCGCTGATTTCAGAAATGATGTTACTTTTTCTCTATCAGGTCTAGTTTTTTTTTCTAGGGTATATCCCTGAATTTCCACAATGTATCTCGCTGGTGAAATAATTTTAACATGTTTATATTTCATTTTACATGATGTATTTGTGCAATTCAGATATGGTTTACTTTTTATTCATAAAAAGAACAGTTGTGATATTTAGCTTAGATTTTAATTTTCTTGTTTTCGCGACGGTGAATTTCATGCTTGTTTACCATCATATCTGGCAACACTGACATATCATTGTTCAGATGATTTTGATTCATTTTCCCTGCGTGGCCATTTTGTGCTATCAATTGCCGGACTCTGAGAGGTTCTGGTGCTGAGTTAAACATGGATATATATATGTTATTTAGTGATCTGTGAACGTTCAGGATGTCTTAACTTACCGTATAAGATTGTCAGAACGCCAGCCCACACTCGTTTTTGTCAGGCCATCCTAGGGGTAACTGGGCCGTGCTTGGTATTGTATTTGCGTTGTGTATATCAGATATGGTCTCTATATTGTCAGAGCTACCAAGTTTTTATATAATAACGTTTATAAAGTCAGTAAAATAGTTGGTTAACCCGTTGACATCAGGCTGAGCGAGTGTGGGCTGGGGTAACTTTGGTGGCGTCTGGCACCACGTCAGATGCGTCATATTACGCCATGCTTGTCTCAATAATATTCTGAATTAATCGCGGCCGTCACGTGACTAAAATTACCCTTTTTTTGTTAAAAACTCTTGAATGCAACAGTAAAAAAAATGTTCTTTCGATAAATCGGATTATTTTTTCCTAAGGAATTCAATGTTGACGTTATTAGTTTACGCTTTTTTGTAGTATTTCGCGCAACTTCATTATATTGTACTTTTACCGATATTGTGGGACAATAAGGTCCAGATGGATTCCAAAGGAGGGGTGTCTGATCATCGGTAAAATGGGTTTCTATAAAACGAGACAATGTCGCTCGATCTGTATAGGGCCCCGAGTTTGAGAGTATTCCACGAATCAGATTTCAATCTCCAAGTAATTCCCTTTGAATTCCTCTATCAGAATCTACAGTCTGACATTTGTGAGTCACAACAATGCTTTGTAAAAAAATTAAATAGAAGTTTTTTTTTATTTTTAGAATGTTTTCCCCGGGTGTTGTAAACCGGGACGGACTAAAAGTAGGCACTTGCAAATTAGGCACTTTTTTAGGCACTTTGGAAAAAAAGTAAAAAGGGCGTAATACCTTTCAAAACATAATTAATTAGTTAAAAATGGTCAAATTAAATGTTGAAAACGCAAATTGCAACGGGCAAACTCAATAACAATATTTAAAACGTAGTATTAAAGGCAGTCGCACGCGCTTGGTCACCACATATGCTAGGCACATATTTAGGCACTTCGAAAAATAAATAAAATGGCAATTATCACTAATCAAAGACAGAGACATAAACATATTACCCACACTGATTAGCCTGGGTAAATATCCAATAGATGCACTTGAGTCTAGTACTGGAATTTAGAAATAATAAATTGTTACCGGTAGGCACTTATTTAGGCACATCGAAAAAAAAGATGAAATGGAAAGTAGTAACTCCTGAAAAGGTAATGAATTAGTTCAAAATATTTAAATTAAATGTTGAACGCGAAAATTGCAACAGTTAAATCCAATAACGATTTTTAAAACGTAGTATCAAAGGGAGACGCACGCGCTCTGTCACCACATATGCTAGGCACATATTTGGGCACTTCGAAAAATAAAGAAAATGGCAATTATCACTAATAAAAGACAGTGAAATAAAAATATCACCCACACTGATTAGCCTGGGTAAATATCCAATAGATGCACTTGAGTCTAGTACTGAAATTCAGAAATAATAAATTGTTACCGGTAGGCACTTTTTTAGGCACTTATTTAGGCACATCGAAAAAAAGGTGAAATGGGCGTAATAATTTTTAAAATGATAATTAATTAGTTGAAAATTGTCAAATTAAATATTGAACACGCAAATTGCAATGGGTGAACCGAATAACAATATTTAAAACGTAGTATTAAAAGGAGTCACACGCGCTTGGTCACCACATATGCTAGGCACATATTTGGGCACTTCGAAAAAAGAAGAAAATCGGAATTATCACCAATAGAAAACAGAGAAATAAAAATATTACCCACACTGATTAGCCTGGGCAAATATCCAATAGATGCACTTGAGTCTAGTACTGAAATTTAGAAATAATAAATTGTTACCGGTAGGCACTTCGAAAAAAAAAGAAGAAATGGACGTAGTAACTCCTAGAAAGATAATGAATTAGTTCAAAATATTTAAATTAAATGTTGAACGCAAAAATTGCAACAGTTAAACCCAATAATGATTTTTAAAACTTAGTACTGAAGGGAGACGCACGCGCTCTGTCACCACATATGCTAGGCACATCGAAAAAAAAAATGAGAATAATCACCAATAAAAAAAAGAAAATAAAAATATTAGTCAAAATGATTAGCCTAGGACTGGGTGAATATCCAGTAGATGCACTTGAGTCTAGTAGTGGTATTTGAAAATAATACATTGTTACCGGTAGACACCTTTTACCGTGTTTCCCCGAAAATAAGACAGTGTCTTATTTCAAATTTCTTCCTAAAATTACCACTAGGGCTTATTTTCGGGGGATGTCTTATATTTTAATTTATCAAAAACAAAATTACAAAGTAAAGAATTAAGATATTTTCAAAATATGCAAATATAAAAACCGATATCATTGGGTTTACTTGTTGCAATTTGCATATTAATTTTTTAATTTAAATATTTTAAACTAATTCATTATCATTTTAAAAGTTATTAGTATTACGCCCATTTTACGCATTTTTAGAAGTGTCTAAATAAGTGACTAAAAAGTGCCTACCGGTAACAATTTATTATTCTCAAATATCACTACTAGACTCAAGTGCATTCATCGGATATTCAAACAGGCTAATTATTTTGACTAATATTTTTATTCTCTGTTTTTTTTATCCATGATAATTACCATTTTCTTTATATTTCGAAGTGTCTAAATATGTGCCTAGCATATGTGGTGACAGAGCGCGTGCGTCTCCCTTTAATACTATGTTTTAAAAATCGTTATTGGGTTTACCTGTTGCAATTTCTGCGTTCAACATTTAATTTAAATATTTTGAACTAATTCATTATCTTTTTAGGAGTTACTACGTCCATTTCACCTTTTTTTCGAAGTGCCCACGGGTAACAATTTATTATTCCTAAATTCCAGTACTAGACTCAAGTGCATCTATTGGATATTTGCCCAGGCTAATCAGTGTGGGTAATATGTTTATTTCTCTGTCTTTTATTAGTGATAATTGCCATTTTCTTTATTTTTCGAAGTGCCTAAACATGTGCCTAGCATATGTGGTGACAGAGCGCGTGCGTCTCCCTTTAATACTATGTTTTAAAAATCGTTATTGGGTTTACCTGTTGTAATTTCCGCGTTCAACATTTAATTTAAATATTTTGAACTAATTCATTATCTTTTTAGGAGTTACTACGTCCATTTCACCTTTTTTTCGAAGTGCCCACGGGTAACAATTTATTATTCCTAAATTCCAATACTAGACTCAAGTGCATCAATTGGATATTTGCCCAGGCTAATCAGTGTGGGTAATATGTTTATTTCACTGTCTTTTATTAGTGATAATTGCCATTTTCTTTATTTTTCGAAGTGCCTAAATATGTGCCTAGCATACGTGGTGACAGAGCGCGTGCGTCTCCCTTCAATACTACGTTTTAAAAATCGTTATTGGGTTTAACTGTTGCAATTTTCGCGTTCAACATTTAATTTAAATATTTTGAACTAATTCATTATCTTTCTAGGAGTTACTACGTCCATTTCACCTTTTTTTCGATGTGCCTAAATAAGTGCCTAAAAAGTGCCTACCGGTAACAATTTATTATTTCTAAATTCCAGTACTAGACTCAAGTGCAGCTATTGGATATTTATCCAGGCTAATCAGTGTGGGTAATATTTTTATTTCTCTGTCTTTTATTAGTGATAATTGCCATTTTCTTTATTTTTCTAAGTGTCTAAATACGTGCCTAGCATAGGTGGTGACAGAGCGCGTGCGCCTCCCTTTAGTACTACGTTTTAAAAATCATTACAGTATTGGGTTTAACTGTTGCAATTTTTGCGTTCAACATTTAAGTTAAATATTTTGAACTAATTCATTATCTTTCTAGGAGTTACTACGTCCATTTCAGCTTTTTTTCGATGTGCCTAAAAAAGTGCCTACCGGTAACAATTTATTATTTCTAAATTCCAGTACTAGACTCAAGTGCATCTCTTAGATATTTACTCAGGCTAATCAGTGTGGGTAATATGTTTATTTCTCAGTCTTTTATTAGTGAATATGCCATTTTATTTATTTTTCGAAGTGCCTAAGTATGTCGCCATATGGATAAGCCGTCTTATCGGCTTTCCTCTCCCCCGGGATAAATATGTAAATCCTATCCTGTAAATCCTGCCTAGCATATGTGGTGACCAAGCGCGTGCGACTGCCATTAATACTGCGTTTTGCATATTGCTATTGAGTTTGCCCGTTGCAATTTGCGTTTTTAACATTTAATTTGACCATTTTTAACTAATTAATTATGTTTTTAAAAGGTATTACGCCCTTTTTATTTTTTTTTCAAAGTGCCTAAATAAGTGCCTAAAAAAGTGCCTACTTTTAGTCCGTCCCTTGTAAACCTTACTCGAAATATATTCGATCATACTAGTGGGAGTAGTAACTCTAGTCACAGTATGTGGTCATCAATGGGATTTATATCAGAACTATCAACGCTGTATCCTGATCTTGGTAAGTAGAATATCATAATGAAAGGGAAATTTAGAAACGGGAATTGCTATTTAACCTTTATAGCAATGTGAGCTGTTAAATGCCCAACCAATAATTTTGTAATTTATATCCTGTTTATTATCATTTCGCATTCGGCCCAGATTTAATCTTAAAACCAAGAAAGACAAAAGTAGCAGCATTGAAGCTTGCTTGTTTATATGAGATTATTCTGACCAGTCAGGCTTCAGTGACCACATCTGACACTAATTACACACATACATGGGTATATCTATGTACAATTAGGTCGTCTCATCAGCTTTTCTTTCTCCAGGGATATTTATGAAAATCCTAACTATCCCAAATCCTATGTTATAATTCTTCAGAGTCCCAGTCACTCTTGGCACCTCAGTGGTTGCTTTCAACTTCGCCCAATCATCATTCCCCTCTGTTTATACGCGAGTCCCTGCTTTGAGCATTTTCCTTAGAACCATTTGAATGGAATTTGAATTCAACAATCCAACTGAGAAATGGCAGCACTGGCACTCAACTATTAGCAAAGGATTATTCTGGCGAGTCACGCATCAATGAATGATAGTATCAAATGGGAAATCGTCCAATATAGGATTAAAGTGGGATTCTATCTGTATTCAATCAAGCATGGTTTGGACATAAAACTGTTTTTTTTGTGTTGCCCACACATGATATCAGTAAAACAAAAAACACTTTGGGTTTCGGTTTTTAGTTGAAGGGAAATTTTGTCTGATTTTGCAAAAATTTGGAACAATGGTTTCTTTGCGTCAAGGAAATGATGTCACTTATTCTTAAGATATTTTTGTGATTTACAGGCCTGGCTTCAATGCATCTACTATTCACAATGTTATATACAGTGAGTACCTTGGGCGCAGTGGACGTGTATTTATTCTCTCAGAATTTCTACATTTTGAAAACGAAATTATTCAATGACCATTCAGTGGATTGGAGTTCTACTCCTTATTGGAGGTGGGTTGAACATTTTATGTATTTTATGAAGATTGGCGTTTCAAATATTTTTAACGAATGATTAAAATACTCTGATCAAATTGGGAATTTTCTTTTGTGGTGAAGCAGTTTACCTGTATATATTGACCACTAGTTGTATTTTGTTACTGTCTGGCAACTTGCAGAAAGCACGCGCAGTTCACTACATTTCATCTTTAGTTCCTGGGGTAGCACGTTTTACCTGTCGCAGGGCTCTTCAGACAAATTTTTTTTATTTTTTCAGCGTGTATGATATCATTTCTATTTAAAACAGGGCATAACGTCGCGCCAATTTTGATTTGAGATGTTTTATAAATTCAGAAATTTGAACCAGAGATTCGATGGCCAGTTAGCGCGAGAGACAGAAAGGATCAAATTAGTATTCCTTCACTGACAGTCAGAAATTTGGTTTGCACATTCACTAATTTAAATTATCTTCGTATTTTCATTAAAAACTAAACTGAAATAAACAACAAATTTAAAATGGATATTCACACATTAAATATTTAAAGCAGCGCACACGATAGTCCCAGATGAACGCTTTTAATTGAAGTATGAATACACCTGTTTCGAATCAACGAAGCGTGTTCAATGTAATTTTCCGGGAGTAATTAGCCTCGTCATAGGCTGCCAACGTGACGTCGTTAATTAAGTAGGATTCTAATCAACAGTTTATCCTCACCAGTAGCGGTAGCTCAGGGGAAGCGTAGAAGCATGGTCAAACATTAGGACCGTGGTTCGAACCCACATGGTAGATTGAGTCATAGGTCTTGACCAGCAGTCTGGGCAGACGGTCGAAGAGAAGGGGCAGGTGGGAGAGATGGGAAAGTGATAGAAGCCAGCAAGGACCAGCGTGGAAGACCAAGTGATCAGGGCGGAGTAAAAATGAAGCGAGTAGACAAGTGAGAGTGAGATCAGCGAGGCTAAGATAACGTGCAAGAGTGAATATTAAGAATGAAGGAGAAACACCAAAAACAGGTTAAGAATGCAGGTATTTTGGGCACCAAAGGGGTAAGTAAGCAAGCCCTAACAACAACAACCCTCAAAGGGCAGGGCGAGAGGAGAAAGCCAGCATGTGAGTGAACGAAAATAAATCAGTGGTCAGATAAGACGAGAGTGAAAATCACAAATGAAAAAAGCCCCAAAAATATATATATAAAAGAAGGAACTCCAAAACGAATGAAGCGGGAGAAGCGAGAGTTAATAAAATTAGCTAGAAGCCAAAAAAGCCTGAACGAAAAAGTGGGAAAATATTTCGAACCCCTCATGAAAAAAAGCGGAGCGATATAGTGGGGGAAAAATGTTACATTCAGAAAACGCAAAAACGAGCAACTGGCAAATTACGAATGTAAAAAAGCCCCCAAAAAGTCCTATGAAATAGAAAGAAGCCAAAAAAGCCCCAACGAAAAAGTAGAGCAATAAATAATGGGAAAAAATTGCGAAAAAAAGTGGGAGTGAAATTGTATAGTTTGAACCACACTGGCCTGAGTTGTAGGTTGTTAGGTAGGCTGGTTGGGGCAGCAATAAAAATTAAAAAAATACTGGACCAAGGAGCCAAAACAAAAATGAAGAAATAAACGCTATTAGTAAAGGTGAGTAGAAATAGTGCTCGAGAAACTAAATAATAAAAATTCAGCGAGGGGCCTAAGGAAAAAGAAATTAATGAAAAAGCAAAATGAAATAAAAGGCCAGAGGCAAAATTAAGATTCAATGAGAATAGAAAACAAAAGTCAAGGGAATATAAAATAGAGATGAGAAATGAAATAGAAAAATTATGTGGATTGAAATTTACTGAAAATAGAAACAGCAGCCAAGTTGCAAGAAGTTAAAAATGGAAAATAAACCCAGCCCTCTTAGTAAAAGATATAGAAGTGAGTGGAGATATAATTTCAGCGAGGGCTCAACGGAAAAAGTAGGATGAAATGTGGAAGAAAATAGAAAAATCATCGAAGCTGGCTGGAGCAGCAGGAAACTGTTTTTGCACAAAAATCATGAAAAATAACATTAGCTGACAAAAATTTTTTTTTCATGGTGCCTAAGATGTTTTAACCCTTTTTAGCAAATTTGAGGGCGCTGATTCCAGAAAAAATGTTGCTTTTTCTCTATCAGGTCTAGTTTTTCTTCTGTGGTATATCCCTCTCCGCAGGATGCCGATAGCCACAATAAAGATAGGCAAATTGAAGAAACAACATTTTTCTGTAATTTTATTGAACATAATCTTCATAGAATCTCACCAAAAAATTGACAATTAAAGCTGGAAGTTGTAATAAATGCTAACTAATAGATGTCATCAGCTATAAATTGACGTTTTACTGATTTTCTAGAATGGGAGGCGATCTGAATTTATAACTAGATAGGATTCGGATCCGGACTCGGATTCGAGTCGATCCAGGCATTTTTTGGACTCGGATTCGATTTGGAGGCCACATCATTTTTGCCGAGTCTATAATCAATTCTGTTTTTACTAATTTACGCCTATATTTGTACTTTTGCCTCTATAAATCTCACTACATGCCTTAACTAGTTAAAATTCAAGGTTAGATCTGTAACAATATCCCTCGTGTGCATTATAAACACTCCTAATAAAATCGACAACAGATATCCAGATAATACAACGCAAGTTGAAAATTGTTGATCGTTTAATGATCTGCGCCAGTTGCCTTCAAATTATCTATTCTTTTTGGTATACATGTTGTATACAATAAAATATGTTAGCGCAATATATCTGAGTTTTTGATTCGCGTAAAAATAAACATTCTCTGAATCAACCCAATGGGGAATCTAATCAATACCTCTTTCAAATCGAGTTTATGTCGTGCAATCTTTTCCTTAAAAAGGGAGCAATGGAAAGTATAGTGTTTCAGAACCTTTACATACAGGGTGCCCAACCCGCGGCCCGCCTGACTGTTTTTGCGGCCCGCCAAATAGATTTTGTAAGCAGACTTTTCAATTTTTTACTATGTTATAAATAGGCTTGAGTATGTTTCGTGGTTTTGATGTGAATATTCCCGTCATCTATCTACATCCGGATGCCGATTCTTGTTATTACATTTTATATATCAAGTCTTATGCCCTGGTGGACATCGACGTTCGTTTTTTTTTCCGCAGAACTGTGCGTTCTGTTTGACGATCTTGAAAGATGTTGTGCGATCATAGGCGACGAACGCTGAGCGCAATGATAGGAATGAATTTGGAACCTAAGTTTTCAAATTAGTTTTATTCTGATTGCTTTTTCTGTGTAGGCTTTGATCATCTTTATCTCCAACGTAAAATAAATAGTCAACAATAACCTTTGCTGCTGCGGCTCCGGGACTTGTTTTTCTTTTTATGTTTGTATTTTTGTTTCATGTTATCTGTTTGCGTTAAAAAATGCCGGAAATAACGCCACTGCGTATCCGTCAATAATTCTGATAAAATTGACAATTCTACATATTCAAATTAGTATTTACGGTATATTCGTCCAAAATATATTGCAATGTTTTTTCATTAAATACTTGTATTGATGTTTCAAATTTCACGAAACGGCCAAAACTTGATGTTCCTGCGACATTGGCGCACATTACGCTCATTGAGACAATATCATAGTCACTGAAAATAAATAAATAATTAAACACCATGACTCAAATATAAGACTCTATTTTTACGGCTTTGTTTGTTAGTAACTCTGTGCAGATTCTCGTGGGGTCGTCATAAAATCACAAGTGCGATGTGTAATGATTGATTTTTTGATTCAGCGGCCCGCGAGTGTCATGTCCACGCCTTGTGTTACCAGATATTCGAATATTGCAGTGCTGTTCTAATATTCGCCTTCATATTCGAATATTTCGCCAGCACTAATGAGTAACCATGCAGTAAATAATTATTAATTTATGTTAATAATCTTGCCTTTCATGTATTACATAAATTCTAACGAAATCAGGACTTAGTTGGTATTAAAGTTTGGTACAAACGTTTGCGGCCCGCAATGAATTTCCTTATGTGAAAGTGGCCCACGAGAGGAAAAGGTTGGGGTTGGGGAGGCCTGCTTACTTGACCTACTAAATTGCAAGCAGATGCGCCACATTGTATTGACGACCAGTGGCATTTCTCTACCATTTGCGCACGTGACATGGTAAATTTACGGCTAGAAGTATCTGCAATTATGGGAAAGCATTGTAGTCAAAAGCTTTTCATATTGACATGTAAGAACTTCTGAATAGCCGCCCAGAACGTTTACGTTCGTATTACGGTCGCCAAAAAAGAGAAAAAAAATATTTTTAAATTGATTAAACAGCTATCTGCGGAACCATTAGGCAAAAAATATGAGCTACAACGTATGTTTGTGAGCGCACGATCACGGTCAAAAACGTGTTTTTATGCTTTTGCATCGTGACGTCACGGACTCGGGGGATGTGATTCGAGTCTTCGATTCGTCGATCCTCTGTAATGCCGGACTCGTCACATCCCTACCACCTTGTAGGGCGGGCACCACCATTGGGGAACCACTGAGAGGCGCAGTTCTTACCACTTCATGGCAGCTCCTGCCACGAACGAACCGCGGTAGCTGTTGCCATGGTTTTATAGCGCTATTCAGTAATTAGTATTAACGGTATATTCACTAATTAATGTACCAGATTTCAATTGATCATGCGGAATTATATCTATTTAAACCCTAACCCTAAATCCATCAAAACTGTATCTATAAGACGAACGTTCCAACTTACTCAATATTTGTCACCACAAGGGACAGCCCTGTCTTTACGGCCCACCTGCCGCAGTTACGGCAGCAAAATTTTACCTGCCATTGGTTTTCAATTTGCTGCCGCGGTAAAGACAGCTCGACATTGGCTTGTGGCAGCTAAAAAGTCAGTCGCCATAGGTTTGGCCGTACCGGCCATGGTATGGAAATACCGCCATGGTTTTGCGGCAGCTGTAAACGCCACAGAATACTTAAAACTGCACTTGACCACCATATCTAGTAGGTTTTGGCACGGAAGAAATCTTTCTGGTTTGACTTAAAATCTTGGGTGAGGATGTAAACAATGAGATAGTTCAGCGAGACATTATGATTTTGTTTCGAACCACTGATAAAGTAATAGCATCGTACATATTTTTAAATATCAGTGACCACTTGTATAAATCCTTGTTCTGTGCAAAAGAAGTTGATAAAAGCCATAAAAATTTTATTCGATTTTCTGAATATTTAAGCCAGCAATTCTCAAACATTTTTGTCACGGAACGCCTACGTTTTTTATCTCACCTCGCTGAACACAAAGAAATTGGAAGGTGAAATTAATAATAAAAATTTTTTGATGGATTTACTTTATGCATCAACTTGCACAACTGGCTTATCATGACATCTTTTGAGGCTCAAAGTTTTGAGTTAACAATCTATTGAGAAGGATGGTTTCCAAGAAATTTGGCCTATGGTAAAATTAAAAACGTGGTTGACAATAAAACTTAACAATTAAAAATTTGGGCTGACGGTTTACGAAAAGGCCACGATTTTCTGACTGGCACCATGCCTGTCTGCCTGTTGGGAGACGAATTTTAGACCCAGAGGTGTCAAAGTACGCCAGAGATTGCAATAGCGATGAATTTAGCGGCAATCTCGATCCCTGTACCGCGGATCATTGATTCACATCTATTTTAGGCTGTTTTAGACATTCCTGTATAAAAAAAGATCTTCCCTCCCTCCATTCTGTAACTAGTTGATTAGTGATTGGACTAGAGGCCGAAGTTTGCCATTTTATTAGGTCATCTCAACCAACTTTCTCTTCCCAGGGATAAATAGGAAATTCCCTATTTTACTGGACAAGAAGTGAAATATATGAATATTTCGCCAAAATTTTCAATTTTTTATGTGACACTGAAGTAGAGTAATACTAAAAATCAACTCTGTCTGTCATTAGCCAACAATTAGTTAATTACAGTACTACATGAGTATTTGAAGTGTTTCAGTTAAAAAAGTCTCAGTGAATTTATCCTAATCTCACTATGCCATGTCTTTAATGTCTGTGTATTTTTAACCAAACTATGTAGCTATTTTTACATGTCAATGGCAAATTTTTGATTGGAGCGAAATGCGCGACCAAGCGTTGTATAAATAGAAAATTTTTTTGATCCGTAATTAGTTGATTATTGACTGGACTAGAGTACGTGGTTTGCCATATTATCAAGTCATCTTGCCAACTTTTCTTTCACATGTACATATGGATCTTTTCTAAGTTCATGCTGTTCATAGATTTTTCTTGGTTTTGTTAAAACATTTTTTTTGCTGCAGAAGTATGTAAGTATGGAGGTAACTAATTTTGTTTGCCTACTATACATCAAGTTGTGTAATGGGACTACGGGAGTATCCATTTTTTGCATGGCGCCAACTACTGGATTTCTAGACCAATTTAATTTACAATTTTCAATATATTTCAATTCATTTGGGAAGATGTCTAAGAGACTATAAATTTTCAGTTTTCAAAATTCTTCAAAATTCCATAAAATTTATCTTTAATTCTGTAACCTAATTCTGAACCTATTTCCTTACTTGTAGAAGAATTCGAATGAGATACAAATTCAAAATCTCTCTGAATGATCTTTCCTTTTGAAATTCTCCTACCGGTTATTCCAAGAACAACTTGACTCTCATTCCGTTAATTTCAGGAATCTCATGGGTGAACGGGAAGAGTTGTAGTAGAATTTCCATAAATGACTTGAAAGGAGAAATCAAGTCCCCAGCAAATGAAAGTGAATGTGATCCGAGTAGTAGCTACTGTAAACCTCCGATCTATTTTCCTCGTAAAATGAATCAGGCGATGTTAAGATTGGATTTCACAGCCATGTTTCTTGCAGGAGGAAGTTTCAATATTAGTATTGTGGGCTTCAATTCTCGAAGTAAGTTTTTTCTAACATAAGTTAGTGCATAAACCTTCCTAGACTTCAATGGGGTTTTGATGTCAGATAAGCCAATTGGTCTCAAACTCAGTCATGGCACAAAAAATGACAACGATACGCATCATGACATACCAGTAAGTTAAGTTGGTATGAAACGAGGGAATTCAGGAACATTACCAAAATTAAAACGTCTGTCAAATGTAGTGCCATGGAATATATGTGAAATAAACACGATGAAACAGACTTCAACAGACTTCAAACTTTGAGGTGGCAAAGATGAGTATGGTGGCCCATTGTTGTCACGCGTAATATTAACAGGAACCTTACCAAAATTATAACGTCTGTCAAATGTAGTGCCATGGAATATAATGTGAAATAAACACGATGAAACAGACTTTAAACTTTGAGGTGGCAAAGATGAGTATGGTGGCCCATTGTTGTCACGCGTAATATTAACAGGAACATTACCAAAATTAAAACGTCTGTCAAATGTAGTGCCATGGAATATAATGAGAAATAAACACGATGAAACAGACTTCAACAGACTTTAAACTTTGAGGTGGCAAAGATGAGTATGGTGGCCCATTGTTGTCACGCGTAACATTAGTATTAAAGCAGCAGTTTATTCATGTAAGTATTTTCTAACATAAGTTAGTGCATAACCTTCCTAGACTTCAATGGGGTTTTGATGTCAGATAAGCCAATTGGTCTCAAACTCAGTCATGGCACAAAAAATGACAACAATACGCATCATGACATACCAGTAAGTTAAGTTGGTATGAAACGAGGGAATTCAGGAACATTACCAAAATTAAAACGTCTGTCAAATGTAGTGCCATGGAATATAATGTGAAATAAACACGATAAAACAGACTTCAACAGACTTTAAACTTTGAGGTGGCAAAAATGAGTATGATGGCCCATTGTTGTCACGCGTAATATTAAAAAAAAAATAAAAAAATTAAAACGAAATAAAAAAAAGCAAAAACCAAATTAAAAAAAAAAAAAAAAACGTGAATGAAAATAAAACAAAAAGGTGGCCCATCGTTGTCACACGCTTTTATTTTGAAAAATTTTGCTTTGGCTTGGGACCAACGTTGTCAAGCATAATCCTACGCGCACAAACGGTGTTTCCTGGGTTTCTAACTCATTACTGATTTTCTTCAGCAATATTCAGTAAATTTAATATGCAAATGTTCTATAAATTCTCCATGATACAAGTTCAACTAGAAGTAATATATATATTTAAAATATTGATAAGAGAATATAGAATTGAATACGAAAATTCGAAAAATTTGTTTTTACGTGTAGAAGGTAATTGAATTGGAGAATGCTGCTTAAATGCTCAGTTGGCCGCAGTCTCTCGTGCGATACCGATACCGTCTGATCGTACCCGGTACCCAGCATACAGTCACTCATGAAACGAGTGGGAGATACGGATAGTCTAGTACAGGGGTGGGCAAAATACAGCCCGCGGGCCGCGTCCGGCCCGCGACGAGATTTTAACCGGCCCGCTGACTGTACATCAGTCTTTTGATATTACATTATTACACTTTTAGTACATTATGATAAATTCATTATGTGTTTTTTGGTCTCTATTTTTTTAAAGTTTAAACTTTACTTTAAACACGATTTATAACTTTCTTTCTTGCAATAGTTAATAAATATGTGATTAAGATATTGAATACTATTCATGTTATAATCCGGCCCACCGAGGACTTCATTTTCCCACATCCGGCCCGCCGACTGGAGAAGTTGCCCACCCCTAGTCTAGTAGAATATGGTGAATCGAGGAATGGATTGAAATAAATGGTTGAGCCCGCGTGATTTATCATTCGTCTGGATAGGTACGTTACGGCTGTACGCAGCGGCGGATTACCCATTAAACAATATGAGCACGTGCTTAGGGCACCAAGCAAAGAGGGGCACCACAGAAATTTCAGAGCAGAATTTTATATAGTTTATCGGTGTTTATTAAAATATTACGAGTTCACCAGACGACTAAAACTTCAAAATGTTCGCTTATTTTTCGTCTTCAAGTATCATGTTAATCTTCTTTATGGACCTTTCCCCGAGCATCCTTGTTTACATCGTGACTTTGGCCAATCAGCAAGAGGCAAAAAGTGACGTAACAATGCACCCTTTCCGCATCCGCTCAGACACTTTTCTCACTCAGACAGATTTTCAGGCGTGGTCATAAACATTATCGCATTTTTGAACTCTATTCGTTAGTTTTCAGTTGTGTTTCGGAAATTTAAATATAAAGCAGATAATTCAATGATCACTCTGTCTTCCTAGGAGTTTTAATTTAATTGCAGTAAAAAAAAATGGTGTATAAATAGCTGTGATAGACTAGGATAAAATTCTTTACCAGTACTTTTAAAAAACAGGTTGTTTTATGCGATGAATCATAATGATGGTTTGAAACACATATCTCATTTTACAGGCACCAACTCGCGAAACCACTCTTAAAATGAGGCCCGAAAGTTTTGCAACTGTATCGTATAGGAAGAATTTTTCGGGGGTCTAAGGTCGGGGAAAGGTCCAATAAAAATAAACGTTGAAACTTACTCATTGGACACGAAATGGGCCTATGAGTCGTTTTCTTAAATTGTTGTTGTTTTTTCTTTCAAGTATTCTCCTTGTTGCTGCATTTTTGTTTAAAAAAAAGTTCTTTTTTCTTCAACAATTGGACCAATGAACTATTTACACTATGTGACGGTTGCACGATCGCATTTCAACGATCTTGTGGTCAGCGAAGTCGGGATTTTTTTGATAAGGTAGACCAGGGTGGACCAAACCCTATCATGCTGATACATTCCGTGCGGCTCACAGAACAATTTTAGCGTATATTTGTATCTAATAGAAGAATGATTTTGACTTCTTTTTACCTATTCCAACTAGGATTGGTAACCCGAGATTCAAACCCTTTTTTTAACGCTCTGTGACTTTATTTTAGTAAAAACACTTCTCAGTTTTCAAGCGTAGGCCATGTGACAGTAGTGACGAAACGCAGAGCCGACTTAAAGCCGCCCAATCCATTTTTTTTTAGCTAGTTCCCGGAATACGAACTTAGACGGACTTGGTTGGTATTTGACGATGGCACTAAGCTTGCTCACGCTGCAAGTTTTTAAATTACTCAAATATAACAATTCGTAATAAAATGTGTCACAAGAAAGGTGACATAAAGAAATTAATTTTCCTTAAGGCTTTATATATCTTCTTTAAAAGAACGTCACCCATGCAACATAACAATAGTCGGTTAGAACGGTAAACTCTTGTTGTTTATTAAATTTAAAGTAAGTAAGCTCGCGATATTTCGATCACTTTTGGGTTTTCCTCGACTTGCGGCCCGAGAGACCTCCTCAAAAGTTTTTGCGGTCCTTCAACCTAGCAGCCTTGAAATACTCTGAGGTAGACTACTAGAAAACGGTAGAATTTCAAACTACAGTTGTGACTTGTATCATTTGGTATTTCGATTCACGTTGAGACTGGAGGCATGAATCATTATTGTCACACTCCCCCCAGGATTAGAGCTCTACCGATATATCGGCCCGATATTGTGTGTTTACCGATATATCATATCGGCAGTAAACGGCCGATAGCTATATATATCGGCTATATATACCAGTTAAAAAATCTAAAAATGTTCGTAAAGGTTGTTTTATTTACTGTTGGTTGTGATTTTTTTAATGGATAACACCCTGTGTGGTTTATTGTTTTTATTATTAAATTGCACATAGGGGGGAACCAAAGTCTCCAGTGCTTAGGGCACCAAATGTGCTTAATCCGCCCCTGGCTGTACGGTATGCCATACCGTATGCACATGCCGACATGCACGTTTCATTGAAATCAGGTGAACCATAACTGCCTTCCAGCCTCGTGGTTGTTCGATCAGACAGTAGTGACTAGAGCCGACGGACGGGTCTAACTAGGCTACTTTATGCACACAGTCCTTTTCTCTTAATCGAGTCTGTGCGCGACGGTGTGGCTCAGCGGGCTAAGCGTTAGGAATACGCTCGCCACCGCACCTCTAATTACTCTGCGTGGGTTCGCAGGTTTGAATCCCATGCAGGGATGGTTATGTGCGAGAGGATTGCTGGACCCCTCGCCGTCGTTGGGTGGTTCACGTAACCGCTGGTCGGTTACGGCTTCCTCCACTACCAAGTCCATGCTTCCGAAAACAAACAATATAACTAATCCCATACCCGACTGAGACTGGTAACCGGACGAGAGGCCGTGGTTCGCCATATGGATAAGCCGTCTTGTCGGCTTTCCTCTCCCCCGGGATAAATATGTAAATCCTATCCTATCCCATTCGTTTCATGAGTGATTGCATGGGTACAGACGGTACCGGTGTTGCAAGAGTGTCCGGGCAGTTGAGCAGCATTCTCCAATTCAATTATCTTCTACACGTAAAAACAAATTTCACAAATTTTCGTACTCAAATCTATATTCTCTTATCATTGAGAGTTATAAATGTATTACTTCTAGTTGAACTTGTAGCATGGAGAATTTATAGAACATTTTCGTTTTAAATTTATTGAATATTGCTCAAGAAAATCAGTAGTGAGTTAGAAACCCAGGGAACACTGTTTGTGCGCGTAGGATTATGCATGACATCGTTGGTCCCAAGCAGAAGCAAATTTTCTCTAAAATAAAAACGCGTGACAACGATAGCCACGAGGCGGCCCATCGTTGCAACCTTTCAATTTTTTTTTTATTCACGTTTTTTTTTTTCCAATTTTTTTTTTGCGCTTTTTTATTCCGTTTTTATTTTATTTTCGTTTTAATTTTTTTTCGCATTTCATTTTTATTTTTTTTTATGTTCTTTCACAACTATTTTTTTATTTTACTTTTATTTTAAGTTTTTTTTATTTTTTTTTCATTTTTTTTTCAATTTTACGCGTGACAGCGATGGGCCACCATCGATGAGTTATAATTAGAAGGTCTATTAATCGGTCTATTAATCGTATGTAAAACACAATAGTTCTAACCTATAACGCCATCTATGGTCAGTTTATTTATCTCAACATACTTTATTACAGGGAATGAATACTTTAGCCCATCCATTCTCACATTTACACCCAACACTGAGCAGAAATGTTGGATATTCAGCGGATCTCGTAGTTGCTTTGACGGAGTAAATACAACATGCATGACTGTGCATAGCCCCAATGTACAAGTGATAAGTGTTTTGTACAAATGCCGGCCTTCTGAATATCAATTCAAATTCACTTACGAATACTTCGATTGCAAAACAGGTGAAACTATATCTTATTTGGAGTTTTGCAAAATAGAATAAAGAATTCGAACAGAATAAATCGCCGGATGAGAACAGAAGGGGCCCCAAGTCACATTTTTGGGAAATTCACTTCTTTCAATATTTTAGGGTTTTGAGCCATGCTCTCTACAAGGTGGTGGTCTTGAAATCCTGAATTTCTCAATAATCAAAATTTTAGCTGGACTTGGGACTATAATATTTTGTAGAAGTTAAGGACAAACTAGGCCCAAGTTCCAATATGAACGGCATGGAAACTAGAAATACAATGTCTGAAATTTACATCTTTATTAAGAATTTGTTCAGTGCAACTTAGGCCTAAGACACCTTGTTTTACCTTGCATCCCATACAAAAAAATTTGTAAGTTGTTGAAAACAGAATAGGCCAAAGTCATTTATGGGGGGTAAAAAACCAGAAAGGAAGTGTCAAAAGATATTGATTACGAAAATATACTCTCCAAATTAAAATCACCGCAGCTGAGGTCTTTACTAAGTGTGAATATCTAGAAATTCAAAAATGAAAAAATTCCAAACTGTTTTTTTGAGTTTTTCTCAAAACTCAAAATTGTGACTTAGGCCTGCTCTGTTCTCATCCGGCAAAATATATAAATTCAAAATCTCTCAAAATGATTTTCGCTTTTGAAATTCTCCTACCGGTTATTCCAAGAACAACTTGACTCTCATTCTGTTAATTTCAGGAATCTCATGGGTGAACATGCAAGGTTGTGGATCGGAGATATCTGACTTGAAAGGAGAAATTCAGTCTGTAACAAATAAAAATGAATGTGATTGGGAGGAAATGTGTGAATATTTTTTTGTTTCTTCTCCCCAAATGGATCAGACAATGTTCAGATTGGATTTCACGCCAACATTACACTCGGGAGGAATTTTCGATATTGTAATTTATGGCCTCAGATATGAATATAGATGTAAGTATTTCATAACATAAGTTAGCATATGACCTTCCCAGATCTCAATGGGGGTTTGGTGTTAGATAAGATAGTTTGTTCCGAGCTCAGTCATGACAACAATACGCATTATGACATAAGTTAATGAGCCTTGGTATGAAATGAGGGAATTCGGAAAAATTGCCAAAATTAAAACGTTTGGTATAAATATGTGAAATGAACATGACGAAAGATTAAACTTGGCAAATGACAAAGATAAGGTATAAAAGGTTTATTGAAGTTCAATAACAAACTAATAGCTTACTCTGGACACAAGAAACATTTGGTTGTAGATTATGGCTTCAAATTGTTATATGTTGACCAGTGACTGTTAAGATAATTCTGTAATTATAATTGCTGAATTTTGTATGGCACAAGATGAATGGCCTTGTTCATAGAAATAATTGCTCAGCTATTATAATAAAACTGATTTGTCTAAATGATTCTATAAATCGCAAGCTGAATATAAAACAGAGTAGATGTAACTTATAATGCCATCTATGGTCAGTTTATTTATCTCAACATACTTTTTTACAGATGTTGACCTATCCACCCTCACATTTACACCCAACACTGAGCAGAGATGTTGGATATACAGCAGACCTGGTAATTGCTTGAATGCATTGAATACAACATGTATGACTGTAAACTGGTTGTATGTAGAAAAGATATGGGTTTGGTACAGATGCCAGCCTTCTGAATATCAATTCAAATTGACTTACGGATACTTCGATTGTAAAACAGGTGAAACTATTTCTTATCTGGAGTTTGCAAAATCTCTCTGAATGAGGCTCTAAGTACTGATTAGTTCCTCCTTCTGTGAAAGGATCCGAATATCGCCAGTTTACTTCTCACTTCATCACGACTTTTTCGAATTTATAAAATAAGTCTCATCTCAATGTGATTTGTGTTGAGCACTTATAGGCTTTCGTCAGAATATGTTCAATATTTGAAATGCTACTTAAAAATATATGTTATTTGTTTTTGTCCATTCCTAATGCATACGTGACAGTCATCATTCTCGGTGTGGAGTCTGGAAAACTTGCAAGAAAATCAAATTTGTTAAAATGCAGACCTCCTTATGAGAACTTTCAGTAAAATCAATCCCCCTTTAGGAATCCTCATCATTCATTTCTGAGTTTTTATACAATTCTGATTTCTTCACAATCGAGCGTTTGGAATTCCTACCTCCGACTTCCGTGAAATCCTGGCAAACTTGACTCACTGCTCTGAATATTTTATAGAAGTAAATGAGAAAGAATTTGAACATACTAACTCTTGCAAAGCTATCGTGTTTATTTATTTGGCTCCATTTGTGTGTGTTCATCGGCCGATATGTGAGAACTAGTCAAATAATATATTTTCATCCTATATTTCAGGAAAAAGAATTGAACCACCAACTACCACACCCCTACAGACTTCCAGCCAATCAGTGACCACACCCCTACGTCCAACCAATCATATTGCACTAACTACCCAGGCAAACAAACCCATCCAAACTACCAATGCACCAACTACCCAGGCAAACAAACCCATCCAAACTACCAATGCACCAACTACCCAGGCAAACAAACCCAGCCAAACTACTAATGCGCCATCTACCCAGGCTAACAAACCCATCCAAACTACCAATACACCATCTACCCAGGCAAACAAACCCAGCCAAACTACCAATACACCAACTACCCAGACAAACAAACCCAATCAGACGACCTCTAACCCCATCTCCACTGATTCAGACTCCAGCAATAATTCTCTCACAACGATTTTGATAATAGTTGGATGTGTGATAGCAGTATTGTTAGTGATTGCAGCCGCAATTTATTGGAAAAACAGGTGAAATGAATTTTTTTATAACTTCGACCTAGGGATGTGCAAAATAGAATACCAAAGGGGGATTTGAATCCCAAAGTTCGACCCCCTCTCCCCCCATAAATAAATAAATAAGTAAATTCTTCCTTCCCTCCATTTTCGAACTAACGACTTGTCTTTTTTACAGACAACAAGGCCAGGAAGAAAATATTGCAATGTCGACCCCAACTCATGTGTACGAAGAGATTCACGAACCGGTAGATGAGGGAGGTTATCTCTCACCCATGCCAAACCCCAACGTATCTGTTCAAATACCGAGTATAGAGGAAGCATACGCTGATCCAGAAGATCCTGATTATATTGTCCCAGAGGATATTACTCCTCCTCCTATACCCCCTCCCATGTATGATAGCGTGCTGCCTTCAAGATCCCCACCCAACCCTCAAGCTAATCTGCCTATGGATCCCCCTGTCCCCTCAAACCCCGGCACTTCCTGTCAAAAACCAAGCGTCGAAAGTGTTTATACCGAGCCCGATTACGCCCCACCAGAAAATATTACTGCCCCGCCTATCTCCATGCATGAGAATGTTGGCGTGCCAACTTCCACAGCCACACCCAACCTTCAGTTGACGCCGCTTCCAAATTCTGAAGTACAGGTTTCACTTATGATCCGCTTAAATTCTAGCATTTCTTGTCAAGTTAAGAGTTCTGATGACAGAACAAATCCAGACACACCCCCAGAAAACATACCTGCCCCTCCCATGTGTGATAACGCAAGGGTGACATCACGCAGAAACCCACCCAACCCCCAAACAAATCTTCCTACTGTATCCTCAAACCCTGACACTTCTCATCAAAATCCAAGTCACGACAGCGTTTATGACGAGCCCGGTTTTGTCCCGCCAGAAAATATTACTGCCTCGCCCATATATGATGATACGGCAGCCGTTACCCCATCTGTTTATGATGAAACTGCATAAAATGGTGATTCCCAACCTTATTTGAGTCACACCTTCTGAATAATTTCTAATATATGCCCCCTTTCACAATATTTACAAAATGTAGATAAAACCAGTCCTACGAACGAAATAATATTAAGATTATTATTCTAGGAGATAGTACAAAACAACCCCTTATGAGTCGCGACCCCAAGGTTGGGAATCACTGACATAGAATAAGTTCAGATCTAATGAGGCAGAAAACTTTTTCTCTCGTAGAATTCAGTAATTTCAAAAAATAAACTGTTTTAAATAGATTTATTCAAAAAAAAAATAAAAAAAAAAATACAGAGAGTAGTGTTGTTCTTGTTTTATTTCATGTAATCGCATTTTCAATTTTTTATTGATATTTTGTGAAATATATTGTTCATTTTGAGCTCTGTAATTTACAGAATATTTCAACCATGACCAAACACTAACTGACTTTGAGATTTTAGTAGAATGAAACTTTAAATAATATTACGATTTACATTTATCATATTTTCAAAAGCTCTTGTATTGCTGCTGATTATTGTTATTTTTTTCTGCGTGCATGCATCTCCGTGATCTGTGAACTTGTGAAAAGTTCCTTTCGATTCTGAATAACTAAATAACATTCTCTCGACCTGGTCGGTTAAACTTTCGACTCTGGCAAGGCTTTGGCTGAACAATCCGACTCGATTTCAGCTAGAAATTTCAATTCTTGATTTTAGACTCTGAAATTCTGACTCGATTAATTTTAACGCAGGGTCGCGTCTCTAATGCGTCTCAGCAATAAACATCAAACTCTTGACTTCACAGCCCTGTTTGTTTTTTATTGAGTGTATTTATGTTATTTCAAATATTTTTATTGATATTGAGTGAAATAGTTTGTTCATTTTGGGCTCTTCTTAAATATTTCAACTGTAACCAAAATTTCTCCAGATATCTTCAGGCTCATTTTTCAGCCCCAAGTTATGCAAATTTCTAATAGTCGCCCCACCACATTGTTTTCAGTGATTGCTGATGAACAGCCATTTCCTATGAGCACAGTCTGTCACTAGAGGGTGCATAAGATTGTGTAGTTTTTTAAAGGGACAGGGCCATATAGATAGTTTTTATTAGTTTTAATGTTGGTCTCAGCAGTTATCTGAAGCAATTAGCTTGTGCAAGTCATGTCCGGCAGCCAACAAGGCTGTCTCATAAATGTTAAAGTTATCGTTGAGAACAGGATATGTTCATCTGTAATTAGGCTCTTAACATATTTTTTTGCATCCATGTATTTGAGAATTCATCTTTTAGAAAACTATTTCTATGAAATTCAGTAATTTTCGAAACCCGGTTTTAAGTAAATTTATTTGAAAAAAATACAGAGAGGCGTGTATTTATTGTTTTATTTCATGTAATCACATTTAAATTTTTTATTGATATTGTGTGAAATATACTGTTCATTTAAACCCTGTGATTTCCAGAATAATTCAACCATGACCAAACAATAACTGACTGAGATTTTAATGGAATGAAACTTAAAATAACATAACGATTTGCATTTTCTATATTTTCACATGTTTTTGTATTCTTGCCAGATTTTTGTGTTTTTTTTTCTGCGTGCACCTAATTCCGTGTGCTGTAAACTCAGTGAAAAGTTCCATTCGATTCTAAATAACTGAAATAACATTCTCTCAACCTGATCGGCTAAATTTTTGACTCTGGCAAGGCTTTGGCTGAACAATCCGACTCGAACTCAGCTAGAAATTTCAATTCTTAACTTTAGACTCTGAAATTCACACTCCAAATAATTTTAACGCATGACTGCGTCTCTAATACCGACGAATAAACATCAAACTCTTAACTTCACAGCCCTGGTTCAACATTTATTTAGTGTATTTGTGTTATTTCACATATTTTTATTGATATTAAGTGAAATATTTTGTTCATTTTGAGCTCTTCTTTTATATTTCAACCGTAACTAAAATTTTTCCAGATTTCTTTAGGCTCGTTTTTCACCCCCGGTTATGCTAATTTTTAATAGTTGTCCCACCACATTGTTTTCAGTGATTGCTGATGAACAGCCATATAGACAACTTGAGCAATTCTCTGAGTCACAGTTTGTCACTAGAGGGTGCATAAGATTGTGTAGAAGGGACCGGGCTATAAAGATGTTTTGGTAAATTAGTTTTGTTAGTTTCAATGTTGGCCTTATCAAATATTGGTAACAATTGATTTTCAAATTTGGCGTCACGTGTACCAAATAAATGTTAAAGTTATCATTGAGAACAGAATATGTTCATCTGTAATCAGGCTCTTTTATCTCAATTGTACTCTACTCGCATACAAACAACCAAATGATTTTTCATTCCAGATGAATGCACTTTATTCCGTTATGCATTATTTCTTGCTTAAGTGAACAATTCGAATAAATGCCTTCCTCAATGCCTTATTGTTATGTTTTTTTTTGAAGTTTCGCTATATTTTCTCATAATCAGATTTTTATTGCTTATTTTTAATATATTTTGTTGACATTTTCATTGTTTCACGCTCCAGTGAACATATAAAAAAAATTTATGCTGCCCTTCCTCAAAGTCCATCCCCCTCAGTATAGGTCTTAAGTAATTCCTGCCGTAAAGTAAACTTCGAATTTATACCTAAACTCTATCTACAGCAATGGTTCCAAGCTGGGGGCCACCCAGATCAGTTGGATGGGGCCACATTCACAATGTTGGGCGCAAAACTGAAAGAAGTACTCCCAGTTCTTTCTAGTTTGATTGCTTGATAAGGTTATTTGACAGAGTGTTTTCACTTTGTTGAGCATGTATTGTTTGAACATAATGAGATTCGGATTCTACCAATGTTAATAACACTAAAATACCACTAGAATGATAAGCTGGGGGGAGTGTTAAAAGCCTCAATGTCTTTGCTAATGTTTTTGATGTTTTCTTTATTTCTCATAATCAGATTTTTATTGTTTATTTTTAATATATTTTGTTAACATTTTCATTGTTTCACGCTCCAGTGAACATATCGAAAAAATCATGCTGCCATTTCTTAAGGTCCATCTCCCTCACTATAAGTCTTCAAGTAATTCATTTATTAAATAAAACACCGTCTTCAGATGTATAACTAAACTCTACAGCAGTGGTTCAAAACCGGGAGTCCATTGCCCTTTAAGTCTATGATGCCAGCCGCTAAGCTCATCTTATTTTCCCCTTTACAAAAGTAACACCTGTGTTTCCTTGCTTGATAAGATTGCATGAGATATGTAAACATAGTGGAATCTACCAATCAAAATAACACTGGAATGAGGTCCAAGCCCCAAATGGTTGGGAACCACTTCTACAATATTCTTCGATGTATTGGCGTCTTTGGACAATCATACACATTAGATCAGAAAACTGATATTTGCGAGTATTTTCATATTTCACTTGAAAATTCCAGCACTTCGATTCTTAGAATACAGATTTCCAGTTAGATCTGACTATAAAATATGCCCCAACCCCTCAGCACTGCTGTATATTCAAACCACGGACTTCTCGAAATAAAAATCGTTATCTAAAGTCTGTTTTAGTGATTATCAATGATCGATGAAAATTTTTCGAGGATTGATTTTGAAGTGAACTTAGTGATTCATCTTTTTAACTATTTTTCTATTAATCGGACAAATTTTGATTTTTTTCTTTATTGAAATCGCTGTTATTGTGACTTCGGGCTAGGGATGTTAGTTTCAGAATTTTAAATCCAAGGGCTCAAATCACGATTAGGTTGTCGTCTAGTCTTTAAGCAAGCTCATCTTTCGATAAGTCCACTTTCGTGTTCATATATTCGAGCATTGATTTCTTCGTATTTAATCACAATCTTTGGTTCTATCAAATAAAGTTGTCTTGATAAATATTGCTTCAAGTAATGCTTTTCAAATTTTAAGTACTTTAAGATGGTTGGAGCTGCCGAACGGCAATTTATTTTTCCAACTTCCTATTTGTCCCGATATTCCATTAAAACTTTGCTTCTTTATTTAAAACAAAAAAATCTTTTATTCTATCCTGCTAGACCGACTGACTGTTAAGTAATTTACGGTGTGGTTGAAATCGTTGAAAAGCAATTACTTTTATTTGGTCTGGTATTTCACCAAAGATTTTGCTGTTTTATTCAGAGCAGAACACTTTTTATTCCATCTTGCTTGACCGACTCCGTCATGCGTATTCGCCAATTAGATTCTGAATTTGATTTGAAAAAAAATAGATTTGAAATTTTTTTTGGCAATCAATTGTTCTATTCAGCAAACATAGTCTACACAACCTCCGTGCCCTCACAATTGGTCATTGTTCTCTTGTTGTTTCATCACACAAAGTAACCTGTAGTCCTATCGAACTCAAAAACAGAAATATTTGAGTAGGATTCTGAATCCAAATTCGATTGAACAAAAAGATTTTAAAACTTACATCCCTATTTGCAACCACTAGGTATAGAAAATGTATTCGTTTGAAATCTTTGCAATACAGTTTAAATCTCATTTGTTGAAACAATAATTTTTAAAATTTTTTGGTCAAAATTTGATTCATTTAGTTGTTTCATGGCAAAATTTCGATAAATAATTTTGGACCTTCATTTGGTAAATAAAAAATTGGAATGTGTGCTTTTAAGGAATGTTCAAATGAAAACAGACAGCGTTGCGACATTTTTACTCCTAATAATGCATCCGCTGTGGCCGATCTCGTGTGCAAAATTTGTACCCGAGATATAGGTCTGGAATTTTGAAGAGGGTCACTACCCTTATTAGAAAACCTTGGTTACCATTCCTGAAACCCGGCAATTAGCGAGAAATCCGAATTTATATCTTGCGTAACGGCCCATACATTTCGGCCAATGAATTAGGGGAATGAAAAATAGAATGTCCATTATCTTAGTAGTTTTTTTTTTCTAACAATCTTGCACATTGCACAAATTATTCTCCTTGGCATGCTATTTCATCCCAATTATTTTTTGGGGGTGATACGAGTTCAACTGAGGTTACCAGGGGTCAAAAGGTCACGAAATTCCAACGCGATTCCATTTAACTTTGTAATATGCACATTTTTCTGGCGACTGTTTTTTGACTTCAGTTAGGGAAAACATGGCGACCAGCAGGAACCCCGTGTATCTGTCTACAGGAGTTGTTGACCAGACCGTCCTAGTAGATGATTCAAAATGTATAATCCGCCAAGAGACTTCTACTGAGAAAATAGTAGGAACCGAAAATGGCCGTAAACGGGTATGGAATGCAGGATTAATTAGAGATGACGTTGTAAGCAAGCGACTGAAAGTTGTTGGTCAGAGTAAATTTGTCTATCATATGCTACAAAGCATACACGATGAAATCTCATCTTGAAAGGATTTTAAAAAGCACATCAGCTAATCTACGAGACGGAGAAATTTGTCTATCATGCTACAAAGCATACACGATGAAATCTCATCTTGAAAGGATTTTGAAAAGCACATCAGCTGATCTACGCGACGGAGAGAGTTATCAGAACCGTTCTCCACGTTCAGGTAGTCTACCATGGCCCAGGCCAAGTTTCAACAGAGCCATTTATGAGAAAAACTGCGTTGTGTGCGGGTATGTTAAAAATCAAGGTGTTTATGAAAAATATCGAATATCCGAGTTGAATCGAGCAATGAAATTTCTTCGGGCCACAGTATTTAATCAGGATGACGTTTATACCAGAACTTGTGATTTGCAAGACATACATGCAGTTTTTGGTGCAGATTTATACTGCCATAAACAGTGCATCAATAGGTATCTTATTGAATATAAGCGAGTCGTAGACAGTAAATTGTTCATAAAGAGAGTAACTGGAAGAAGGGAGCATGGAAAAAAGTTGTTACCGACATTGAAAGAGGTTTTGAAAATGGCGAAGAATACGAACTAAGCTATGTTGGAGATCAAATGAACAGCTATTATGCCGAAGGTTGTATTAATAACACAGAGGTGAAAATTCTCCTACTAAACCACTTTGGCAATAGCGTCAGCTTCACAAGGCCAAGGCAAATGAACAAGTCAGAATTAATCTTTAGCAAAGAAGTTAAAACTGAGGACATGGCAGAAATTATCTGGTCAAGTGATCCTATTCGGAAGTGTGCGCGATTGATCGATCAGACAGTCGTTGTTAGAAGTAGACTTTGATCTACAGATTCTGTGACGCAAATGTCCTGAAAACAGCGTGGGACGCCGTACAAGTTCCCGAACCACTACTTACATTCTTGGCTACTATATTTAATTTTAATGCAGCAGAGTTTTCTGCAGGTCCCCAATTTCTAGATGATGAAGATGGTAGGCCAAGTGATGATAACAGAGGCATTTCGGAGTATCGATTCAGACAAATGCATTGTCTGTTCCATGTTATGTATTATGATTTACATCGTGGTAGACGAAGAACTCCCCTCCATATTATGAATAGCCAATCCATATATGATGCTTGTAAAAGTGCAACCCTTATAACTAGCTTCAATCGATTTGGCTTGTGTAGCAGTTATGATGAGCTTATGCGTCACCAAACGACATGGCTTTCATTCATTGTTGAGAGTAGCTCAGACAAAGTCCCCTTTTCCGAGCAACTTGAACAAATCAATGTTTACAGTAGCTGCTTTTGATAACTTCGACCATGATGAAGCGAATCTCTCCGGACTAGGTGGAAGTCGTGACACTGTGTCAGTTATGTTTCAGGATGACGGGGAGGAGATTGGTCGAAACCATTTCGTCGAACACTAGTGTTAAACATGGATCCCGCACGTGCATTTGATCTGAACTGCCAATCGCTGAGAGAATTTTATAAGCCTACAAAAAAAACATCTCTCTCTGCCGACTACCACGTTTCATACGCTAGATCACGATATGTTCAATGACGTAAAATCAAAAGAAATAGCATGGCACCTGTGTAGAATGGATTTATGAAAAGAAAATCCGGGTCGCTTAAAGCTGGGACTTTATTCGAGGAGAATAACATTCAATCCATCCTGAATGTTATTCTCCTCGACAGCGGCATATTTAAAAGATTTTCATGTGCTGAGTAATGGTCTGGAGAAAGTTATAGATAAGGCAGAAGCCTATCTAACTCATGTTCTTAAGAAAGGATTCAGCTTGAAAACAATGGATAAGCTTCGAAGCTACAAATGTCATCATTCGAAGCAAGCATCGTTGGAAACTCTATCCCCCACAAGTCACGCTATTAGGATGCATATCAGCAGAGCGCATATTGCAACGCATCAGATGATGTCCATAACGTCATCTCAGGTTACTCTTGACTCCAGAGAGTTTGGCTTTGAACTCGATGAAGATCTTTTGATCCCAGTTAGAGGCAATAATCCGATTCCTGAATACCTATCAATCTCATGCGCATGCAAGGCGTGCGGGACAAAACGATGCCCTTGTCGCAGCTTAGGAAAGCCCTGCTGTTTCATTCTGTGCTTGTCATAGTAGCTTCTCGAGTGGTAATAACGAATGCCAGAACGCATTCGGTACATGTTGATTTTGTGATAAACTTATTAGATAACTCGACTTGTTTGTTTTGCCAATGCAAAAAGTTTTTTTTCACATTGCGTTATATTTTCGTTCGTTTTAATGTTTCATTACTGTAAAAATCCAATTATTCATTTATTTGTATTCGTTTGTATTGTGGCAGTAAAATGCATTGCATCGACATTCTTGATTTGATTACAATTTATTGGGTAATATCTACTCGAATCCAGTACAGATTGCCACTTGCCACTTTTGTATCCGTAGGGAAGAGACTGTTAGTCGCTCGTATATTCACCTGAGCTCTTATTTTCTTGACCTTTTAACCTCTCGTGACGTCATTTGAAGTCTTTCAAGTCTAATTAAATATTGCGACGAAAAACCATGTCAAGATCACTAATTTACGTGGTTCTCAAGGATGTTAGAATGAGAAACTTCAAAGATATCTGACATTCTATTTTTCCTACCCCTTATTTATTGGTCGAAATGTATGGGCGGTTACGCAAGTTATAAATACAAAGTTCTCGCTAATTGCCGGGTTTCAGGAATGGTAACCAAGGTTTTCTAATAAGGGAAGTGACCCTCTCCAAAATTCCAGACCTAAATCTCGGGTACAAGTTTTGCACACGAGATCGGCCACAGCTGATACACTATAACCTCTACTGCCAGATTTGAATCAGTTTGTCGACTGTGTTGTGGATCAGAGCTGTGGAGTCAGAAATTCACGTTCTGGGGTAAATAAAATGTTGACTCTCCTGACTACACTGTATAACTTTCGACTCCAATTTTGAAGATGAAATCATTGGTCTATCAAGCTTCTGTTTCTGCCTCTTCATGATTCATAATAAACAAACTGAAAGGCAACCCGTGCGAGGGATTCGGTCCGCTTCTGCGGACTACACTGTAGAACTATCGACTCCAATTTTGAAGATGAAATCATTGGTCTATCAAGCTTCTGTTTCTGCCTCTTCATGATTCATAATAAACAAACTGAAAGGCAACCCGTGCGAGGTATTCGGTCCGCTTCTGCGAAATATTCCACAATGTAGCGTTGGTAATTGGTATGAATGTTATTTAAAAAAAATCTTAACGGCGAGGGTTATAAAACACTTACAGACAAGGCATTACCCGACGTGGTTCACTCAACCGCTGATCGGTTACGGCTTTCTCCACCACCAAGTCTATGCTTCTGAAAACAAGTAACTAACTAATCCCATACCCGACATGGACTGGTAACTGGACGAGAGGCTGCAGTTCGCCATATGGTTAAGCCGCCTTATCGGATTTCCTCTCCCCCGGGCTAAATGTGTAAATCCTATCCTAAGTTAGTTATAAAACTACGGCACTAGTATACTAGCGCTAAGTGAAGGTATACATCAAACGGGCGAGTTACAGCTTAGTAACTAGTCGCGATTACACTTCTGATTATTCTTCACACTTTAATAACCGTGTATATGGCAAAGGCCCGGTGGTTTCGAATTAGTCTCTAGTCTAGTGCTTCCTTTATGTTGATTTAATCCTGGTAAATATATGATAGAAACTGAAAGCTACCATAAATGGACTCATAATATATTGGGTGATTTATTTGCCTTTGATTAACAGTTGTACGTGTTTTAACTCAAAATTATTCTAATCTTACGCGAACATTAAAAGTAATCCAAGCCAAAGTGATAAAAACGCGACAATTAGGTGGTGTACCCCGCCATAACTTAATTCCGTAGGTAATATGATTCCGGAATCGGGTTTTAACACCTTCAATGGCTAATTTGAATCTTTGCTGATATACCCATTTCAACGCATCTCTTGTTTCTAGACCACTTTGTGAGAATTTGCGGTAATGAAGCCCCTTATTATGCATCCAACTTCTGACAAATCTTGTTGGAAATAGTATTTTTGGAATTCTTCTTTTTTTAGTTCTTTATTTTAGTTCATCACGATGGCTGTGCGTTTAAGATTGTATCAATTAGTAATATATTTTAGGCGAGTCAACATGCACCACCTCTTTGGGCAACACATGTCAATTCAAAGTCTGAACGTTTTAAACCTTACTGATTTTGTTTCTTTTTATGGCTCTGTAGCCAGTTTTTATCGATTATTTCATCGTTTTATGCTAATTATGAAGTTGAAAAAATTGAATTATAATATCCT